CCATCTAAACCCCAACCCTAAACCCCTGCCGGAACCCCAAGAGCCTCAGGACCCTCAGTCTAGAACCCTCGTGCACACAGACCCCAAACCAGAAACCCCAAACCCTNNCCCTAAACCCTTAAACCCAAAGCCCCGAAACCTAAACCCCAATCCCTAAACCCTAAAGCCTAAGCCCCAAACCCTAAACCCTAAACCCGAAGCTCCCAACCCTAAACCCCTAAACCCCAGTATAAAGGCGGCCTTTCCTCCCGGGGGCGGTGGAACTTGGCGCCGTGGATGCGCGGGAGCCGGCGATGCTGAGCTGCTACCCACGAGGTCGTTCCCGTGTGCTGGGGGCTTTGGTTTAGGGTTTAAGGATTTAGGGTTTAAGGGTTTAGGGTTTAAGGTTTAGGGTTTGGGGTTTAAGGGTTTACAGTTTGATTCTAAGGAGTATTCCTAATCATCAGATACTCTCCCAGGGAGAAACCTGCATAACTAATTGCTATCTCAAGCCTAAGTACCACCATTGGGTCCTTTGGACCCTTATAAGGTTTTTTCAGGCTTCCATAAAGTATTCCTTTCAGCGCTGGATTAGGGTGTTTATGGGTTTATGGAATTAAGGACTTGGGGGTTCGGAGGGTTGTCATTTCAGCATTGGGACATATACGATTTGCCTGCCTATTCCAGCCCATGTCGCTTTGACGGAATAGTATTATGATACGAAAGGTTGTCACTGTTGTCACCCATGTTTTTCGTAGGATGCAGGAGCTGCCCTAAACCCTAAACCCTACCCTTGTGGGTTAAGCCTAGGTTTCAGGCTGCATTCGCGTGGGTTGACAGGCCCTGAGGACCTTTGGCCAGGGCTTTCGCGGATGAGACAGAGGTTTGAATAAATTGTAGGAGGGTTTAGGGTTTATAAGGTTTAGGATGGTTTAGGGGTTTAGGGGTTCAGGGGTTTAGGGTTTATAGGGATTTAGGGGTTTAGGGCTTCATACAAGTACAATCCTCAATCGAATAGCAAGAATCAGACCGTCACCGTTTCTTCTGCAGTGCAACTTCTTGTTGACAGGGATGGGCCGGCTCACAATTAATCGAGAAGACCCAGTGATCTAGAGAGCCCCAGACCTGAACATGTAGATAAGATGCTAGCCACAAATGCGAACTGCATTCTAGGGTCCAGGTAGTTTGAGCCTCGCTCGTTGTCGTTGTGCCAGGAGCACGCTACATCCGCCACTACGATAACAATTGTGCCTGTGCTGCAGAGGCTATGATCCACAAAAATTATGCGTTCCGCAGGTGGTCCAAGCACACTTTCAACCCGAAGCCCCAAAGACTGTAAAACCTTTTACACTCAAGTCCAAGCAATCGTTCCCAGAAAAACACCCCCGAGCCCTAAACCCGTTACAACAGCCTATGTCAGAGACCCTCGGAATTAAGCCCTGAATCCGAAACCCCAATCCCTAAACCCTAAACCCTGAACCCCAATCCCTAAACCCTAAACCCTAAACCCTAAACCCCAATCCCTAAACCCCAATCCCTAAACCCTAAACCCCAATCCCCAAAGCCCTGAAGCCTGGAGCCCTTAAGACCATAAGTTCTAGACACTGCAGGCATCCAGAGCTCTCGAAGATACTGTTGATGATATAAATCCTGCATTACCTTAAGGACCCTAAACTATGGGAATTATGGTCTATATTCCTCATCATGGGTAATGCAGGTTTATATCATCAACCATATGCCCTAAGCCCTAAACCCCAAACCCTGAAACCCATCAACTGTAGGGCTTCTTCAACCATATCATTCAAGCATCCTTGCGTCGAGCTCTTAGGAGTTCGTGGGTCGGGTCAAACCCCCCGGTGTCTTCTGCGGCTTCGGAGTTTGGAGTTCACGGTTTAGGGCGCAGGTTTAGGGTGAAGGTTTAGGGTTTAGGGTTTAGGTTTTGGGTTTTGGGTTCAGGGTTTAGGGCTATGGGTTAGTGTTTAGGGCAAAGTTTAGGGTTCAGGGCTGACTCCTCCGAACCTTGACACAGTTGAGGTGACACCGGCGAGGGTGATTGCAACGGCCGCCGGCTGACGGTGCTGTGCCTCGTCTTGTTCTAGGACATTCTCAGGTGGGTAGTTACCGTTTATAGGAGCCGTATATAAGGTCTATATACCTTATAGAAGCCTTACAGAAGCCCTATATACCCTAAACTCGCCACCTGTAGTTTCCTTTAACTTGTTCCGCGGACGAGATCTAATGTCCAGAAAGCCTAAACAGCAAAGCCAAACAGCAAACGTAATTACCTACTGCTGATGATCTAAATCCTGCATTACCTTCAAGACCCTAAGCTATGGAAATTATGGTATGGGTAATGCAAGATTTTATATCATCAACTGTAGTTTGGGCTTCATAGTCCGCTCATGTAAGGAAACCTAAAGCCTAGAGCCTCCCGTCTACATTCTGAAGCCTCAATCCAGGGGTTCAAGAAGGGTTTAGGGTTTAGTTTAGAGTTCAGGGTTTAGAGTTTAGGGTTTAGAGTTCAGGGTTGAGGGTTTAGGGTTTAGTTTCGAGTTAAGGGTTTAGAGTTTAGGGTTTAGAGTTCAGGGGTTGAGGGTTTCGGGTTAAGACGTGTAGGGGTTTGGGAAAGATGGTGGTGTCCAAACGTCCCGCCTCTCGCTTTCCTCAGCCCTGAACTCTTCCTCCGGCGACCCCATACATACCCAGAAAACCCAATAGCCCTTAATTAAGGAATATACTTTAAATCATAATATTAATAAGGCCCCTATAATTTAACGTATATTCTTTAATTAAAGGGTATTGGGTTCTCTGGGTAGTATGTTATTTTTCCATGTTGCTATGGTATAATATATCTTGTGGCATACTACAATCCCCAAGTTCCAAGGAGCTTCAGCAGTATTCGAAATTCAAAACCCTACACCCTAAACCCTAAAGCCCTAAAGCCTAAACCCTAACCCCTAATAACCCGGGCCCTGTGTGAGCCTACCCATGCCGAGAGGAGACAAAGGCGGATACGGCGGCTACGGCGGTGGGGGCGGTGGGGGTGGAAGTTACGGTGCCTCGAGCTGAAGTGCGCACATGCTAGGGCTTAGGGTTGAGGGTGTTACATGGGCTTTAGGGCTTGGGGTTTAGGGTTTAGGGTTTAGAGTGCCTGGAACTGAAGTGCTCAGAATGAAGGTGAGTGGGGAGATGAGTATTCTTCGCTCTGCTTGCTGCTCCTCTTTCTAAGCTTGACAGGTGCATCGTCAGATGTGCAGTTCTCTATATGAGGATGCCTGTTTAGGTCCCCAATATAGTACGGCACCCTTACAAGTAAAGACGCTAAAAGCGACCCATACTTTAGAGAACTACCCCATATGGTTGCTGTTGCTTGTTTGTTTTCCGCCTCAACTCGTCAAGAGTCTGGAGCTGCCTCGGGAAACTTAGCACAGGTTTGAAGGTTTAGGATTCAGGGTTTTGGGGTTTAGGGGTTTGGGGTTTAGGGTTTAGGGGTTTAGGGTTTAGGGTTGGGGTTCAGAGCGTTCAGGGATCAGGGTTTCGGGAGCTCCACAAGGAAGCTGCAGCTGAAAGACTTCGGGCGGCGGAAGAGCCATAGAAGCATCATGGAGTCATAGGTCTGCCAGAGGTGGGGTTTCTATTCCAAGTAGTGTGGAATAAAATGGTACTACCAGTTTACTTCAAGCAAGAAGCAGAAGGGTTAATGAGTCTAGAGTCTAGACAGTACCGGGACACGTCAGCAACAAAACATCCCCACCACATGTTCCATGGCCTTGCTTCTACCACGCATCGGGGCGGTAGTCACCCAAAGCCGCTCAAGGTGTTGGGGGCGAGACGGAAGAGATGGAGGCATGTTTTGACATGACGCAGTGGATTGTGTCACCACAACTTTCTGCAGGTTTTTGATGTTCTTCGGGTTGCGTGGACGTGTAAGGTTTAGTTCCTGCCTGTACAGGCTACATCACAATCTACTACATGAAGTTTGGTTTCTTTCAGGCCTTCATCAAGCCTTCTGGGAGTTTCAGACCATCGAGGACCCGAATGCAGGCATAAGTAGTAAGTACTAGGATCCTCATCTGACGGACCCTCAACTAAGGTAAGCCGTACGAAGCCCGACAGTATCTGCAGGTCGACGACCGGGACATCGGTCGCATTGTTGGGCGGGGCGGCTGCAACATCCGTGACCTGCAGGCCTATGAGGGCTTTCCCTGCTTGGTTGCGACGAGCAGCGGTCCGAAATGTCAAGCCGAAACCCCCACACCTTCAACCCCTAACAACCCTGAGCCGTACACTCAAGGTTTAGGGTGAGGGGTTGTCAGACGGTACCCTTGGTGAGGATCTACCACGTCTCATGTATCATCTAGCACTCGCCCTTGGTTGGATGCCAACCCCTGGCAATATCTACCTCCATGGCTTAGAAGTGAGCTCACCCAAGACCGAAACTCCTATGGCGCATGGAAGGAACTCGTTCTCCAAATTCACATGGGGAGTTCTTTAAAGTAGGGTTCCTTGTTTCCCCAAAATAGTAGAGCACCCTTATCAAAAGCACCCTAAAGGGACCTTCATTTAGAGAACTACCACCCACATGACGGAGAGTTGCAAAACTGTGGGAAGACAAGGCTTGGGGTTAAGGCAGCGGAGCCTGTGGTGCCAATCATGGGCCCAGCGAAACCATTTACAATCCCACCAAAAGCCTTAAACTAACCCCTAGACCCTAAACCCTAAACCCTAACCTGAAATGTTGTACTTCTGCATTGGACGCGGAAGTTTCGTGGAGTCTTGTCTGATGTGTGTTGCAATGTGCCATGTTCTGATCTTTTCACTGCAGCTTGCATACTCAACCTTCAGCCTGTTTTGCCCAACTGCACTCACTGTCTCTTGTCCTGAAGTCTCCTCAAACCCTAAACCCTAAACCCTAAAACCCTAAAACCCTAAACCCTAAACCCTAAACCCTCAAACCCTAAACCCTAAAACCCTAAACCCTGAAGTCTCGTTGATGCATGCCATGCCGGACTTCCGACCAGGAAGGCACGAAATGCAAGATCATCACGCCCAACAAGAGAGGCGGGTGCACATGCACTTAGGAGGATCAGGGGACACTGTAAGTAGGGGTGTATACGTACGGTGATTTTCTAAAAAATAGATCTTGGTAACCTCAAGAAGCATATTTGCAACCTTACTAAAGTGCCCGGATCTTGCAAGGAAGGTACATTTTTAGGTTTCAGGTTCGACAGTTGCACGGCAAAAGTCTGAGCATTTGGGCCTCAACCGAGCAATTGAATCCTGATTGATAGGGTTCAGGGTTTAGGATGTCAGGTTTCGGGGTTTAGGACTTGAGGAGTTTCGGGGCTTGTGGGTTTAGGACCTCAGGAGTTTCGGGGTGGAGGCTTGATCCCTAAACCCTAAACCCTCAACCCTAAACCCTCTTCGGGTTCGGGGACTATTCTGTTTGAGGGGCTTTTCAGTGTCTCGGGCTCATCTGCTGGGATCCGGGGTTCAGGGCTTTTTGGGCCCAGATACTCCGCGGATATTTTTCGGAGCGATCAAGAACTGAGGTTAGAGGACTTCTTAGGGTTAGGGTTTAGGGTTTAGGGTTCAGGGGTTTAGGGTTTAGGGTTTAGGGTTTAGGGTTTAGGGTTTAGGGGTTTAGGGTTTAGGGTTTAGGGTTTCACTTCCTGTAAAACCAGAAAGCACCTTGCTGACTTACTTGATACGTAGTGGACTTTAAGCCTTGCGATTGCGAAGTTCTCGCGAAGCCTTCGTTAGCATGCATATCATTCTTAACTTACCGAGCCATCTATGACCTATGAAGCCCCTGACGTTTTGGTGGAGAACCGGTGCTTAGGCCTGTGCGAACGTCTAAGCTTCCGCGGCCAAAGCAGGGTTTCTTGTTGATCAAGGCAGTTGAGTCGACCACTTCAGCTTTCCGAGAGCTGTTTAGGCTTCCGTGCTTCGGCTCGGTGCAAGTACCAAACGCAGAAACTCCGGATCTAGGCGAATACATAAGTGCTTGTATATATGCATATATATATATACACATACATATATATATATATATACATACACGTATATACATGCATATAAATCTAAATATATATATATATATAGACATGTATATAGTATTATCGTATGTCATATATATATATATATCTATGTAAATACAATCCTAGCCTGAACCATACCTTAGACCTTCAGCACTTTGGGGGCAAGTCCCGGCCGGGTCTTTCCGAGGAGACAACGACGACCCCTCTCTGAGGAAGGTGCTGATCCAAGGCAGCAAAGAGCAGATCGCCAAGCGAGGGCCCCACCACTTTTTGGCAGAGTGGGGTTTCAAGCAGGACGGGGATTAGGGTTTTAGGGGTTTTGGGTTTAGGGTTTAGAATTCAGGGCTTAAGGGTCTTGGGTGTTTGGGTTTCAGGGTTCAGGGTGGACGAGGAACTAACCTGTAAACCCCGAACGCAAGGTCGTACACCTTAGACCCTAAGCTCTAAACACTAAACCTTAAACAAGGGACCTGAAATCTTGAATTCCGGGCCCTCAACCGTCGGCCTTTGCTCGATGGATTTGAGGGCTTAGGGCTTACGGCTTCAGGCTTCTTGCCGGGTCTCGAGTCATGATGCTACAGACTCTTGTCGTCGGCATGAAGACCCTGAGGAATATCATGCTATAATGACGTAAAGGGCTATTGTATAGGCATTCAGTTATAGTATGGTATTTGTTGGGGTTCCTTTCCCGTAGAATCTACACCAGACTTTATTCTATAAGCTAGGTGCTTCTACACTGCCGCCTACCTTAAACCCTGAACCCTAAACCCTGAACCCTAAACCCTAAACCCTAAACGCTCCCCGAGGTGCAAGGAGGCCATCAACGGTGTCCTCATGGGCGAGGAGCCCAAGGACCGGCTTCGGGTTCATTTTTAGAGGCCTTTCTAGGCATCTCTAAGGGGATGGTCTAGGGTTAGGGTTTAGGGTTTAGGGTTCAGGGTTTAGGGTTTAGGGTTTAGGGTTTAGGGTTTAGGGTCTGCAAGGGTTCTATAAGGGATCTATACGGGCTCCACAATAAGGGTTCTATCAGGGATCTACAATAAGGGTTCTATAAGGGATCTACAATAAGGGCTGGATGCATAAGGCCTGTCAGGGTGGTACAAGGGTTCTATCAGGGTTGAGGGTTCGATCTAGAGGCCTCAGTGACTATTAATAGGTTGTGCCACTCCCTAGGACTCCTTCCTACAAATATACTGTAGTACACACCAAAGCTCAGTCTTGTAATTAAGGGCCCCATGGTAAGATGGTAGTGTCCTCTTATGGACTTCTGTAGCCACCCTTACCATAGAAGTGTGGAGACAGTACTTGTTTCATGTGCTCCTCAGTTAGGTGCCTTCTTTGCAAGCGCTTTCTGAAGGTCTTACGAGATCTGATCATGCCTAAGCTGGAAGCAGCCTGCTCCATCCTGAACCTTCAACGACTCCGTCTCAAACCCTAAACAGCCCGCGCCCTCGGGAGATCGAGAGGACGTGTTGGCGCAGATTGATGGTGCGGTCATCATCAAGAGCTTCGGCCCGCATCCTTCAACTCCCCAAGGGCCCGAAGATCGGGGGCGTGGAGTTTGCGGTGTCCTGTGGTTTCGGATGTAACTTCGGGTTTAGCGGTTTGGATTGTGAAGTTCGGGAGTTTTTTTTTTTAATTTTTATTTTTTTTGCGGAACTTGGTTTCAACTTGTAGAACAGAGCCCTAGCCCCAGAACCCTACGCCTCAACCCTCCAACCCCAGCTGTGAACCGATTACACAAGTCCCAAGCCTTCGTCTTGGACGTAGTTGCAATCAGTTGTGAAGAGAGTAGGCATGTGCATATACATACGGCTGATGATATAAATCCTGCATTACCTTAAGGACACTAAAGTATGGGAACTATGGTATATTCCTTATGTTGGGTAGTGCAGGATTTTCATCAACAACAGCACCACGTACACATGGGCACCGGTAAAAGGAACCCGAGACCTGAAACCTGCAGCCCAAAAACACTGAAGCCCTATGGAAACCCTGAAAAGGAACCCTAAACCCTAAACCCTAAACCCCAAACCCTAAACCCCAAACCCTAAACCCTAAACCCTAAATCCTAAACCCTAAACTATCACCCCTAGACTCCCGAAACTGGTGTCGGTTTCAGAAACTCCAAACCCCAGAGCGTCGAAGAGCTCCGGAAGACTGAGAAAGGGACTCAAGTAGTAAGTACTACAGAAGCCTAAGTAATTACCGATATTATTCCTTAGGGTTCCTTGTTGTAGCTACTGTAAAGAAGGCCAAAATCCTATTGCACTTGTTAAGGCCCCTAAAGTAGGATTCTTTAAAGGATTCCAGGAAGGGTTTCTTGTAGGGCTCCTGAAAGGGTTGTACGCCGAGGGTTCCGTAGAGGATTCCTTCAAGGGTTCTTCAGACAGGTCCTGTATAAGGCTTCAAGGATCAGGGGACTTGAGTAAGCACGGTTTAGGGTATAGGGTTTAGGGTTTCTCCCAAACGGAGGAACCTCTAGGCCTAAACTGCTAAGCCCTAAACCCTGAACCCTAAATCCACCAAGCCTTACCTCCCAAGCCTTTTGATCCCTCCAATTCTAAGGAACATTGAGCCGATGTCCATGGGCCATCTTGCGAAGATCAAAAGAAGCTCGGCTCGGGTTCAAGGTGCCGTTTTTGGGGGACCTTGTTATAATAGAACCCTTATAACTTAAAGGATCTCTTTAAGGGGATCCTATTGTGGAGCCCTATAGTACCCTTAAAAGGGGAAGGGCTCTTTGAAGGGTTCTGTAGGGTTTTAGGGGGTTTGGGGCTTGGGGTTTCGGGTTCCTTTTCGGTCCGTTTTCGGGTTCTATAACGGTTATCGGGTTGGGAAAACCTTAAGAAGCTTAGCATACTGGAGATGTATGTGTGTAGAAGAGTTTGGATTGAGGGTTTGGCGCTTTGGGTCATGGGTTTAGGGTTACTGTGAAGGCCCTCCAAGGGTTCGAAATCGGTTGGGGTTTAGGGTTCAGGGGTCTTTGAAGGGTTCTTTCTAGGGTTCAGGGATTTCGGTGTAGAGGTTCTGGTCTAGGGCTCAGGGCTTTGAGTGCTTGAGTGATTGCACTAAGGGGCTTGTTGGAGAGCTCTATGTTGTCACTATACTAGGGAACTCGAGGAACTACCTATCCAGGCACCTACATGAAACACAGTTGAGACATCTATTTCTTTTGCTTCTTATGGAACCCTTACAGGGTCCCTCATCGGAGGCCCTCAAAGAACCCTTGAAGGAGCACTACTTGACGGAGGCACTGAAGGAGCAGCAGAACCCCCCCCTCCCCATCCCCCCAATTTTCCGAGGACAACCTGCGCTTTGAATCCTGACGTTCCCACTCTAAGCCAAAATCCTAAATCCCACAAAGCCCTAGACCCTGAACCCTAATTCCCACAAAACCCTGAACCCTAAGGCCCACACCTTCACTTCCGACAACCCAACAGCCTAGATCCTAGACCCAGAATTGAATCCCTTAGCCTCAAAACCTTCAATCTTAGACCCTGAATTCCTAAACACCAAAACCCTATATACATTAGACAGTGAATTCCCACACCCCCAAAACCCTAAACTCCTGAAAAAAACCCAAAACCCTAAAGCCCCAAAGCCCCGAAACCCTCTTCCTCAAAACCCTTAAACCCTAAACCCTAAATTCTAAACCCCAAGACCCTAAAGTCTTTCCCCAAGGCAAGATCGAAGAGGAGATGAAGGTCCGGATAGAGCCCGGGCCCTCTTGGCCTTCGCCGGGCTTCGGGTGTAGGTCTTGAGGCTTTGGGGCTTTTTTGGGGGATTTTTGGGCTTAAGTTTCGTTTCAGGGCTTTTGCGGTTGAAGGTTTTGTTTTGGTAGGTTTAGGGTTTAGGGTCTTAGGGTTTAGCGTTTTGGGGAAGGGTTTAGGGAGTTTAAATTCCTAAGGAAAGTCTGGGGGTTTTGGGCGGTGTCTTATTTTTGGGTTCAGCAAGTTTCGCAAGAGGTTTGTGGGGCTTTGACAGGGTTTTGGGATGTTCTTCTCTCAGTTGGGTTTTTTGGGCTTAGGGGTTTCGTTTTTAGTACCGAAACCCTAGTAAGCTCCTAGTCTTAAACACTAAGGCTTTAAACCCGAAGCCCCTGAGCTTTCCCCTAAACCCTAAACTCCTTAAGCCCTACTAGGACAAGGCTCCGGAGTTTTCGCGGTTTGGCTGTAACTGTACCATCTTCGAATCAGAGCTTTAGAGATTTGTGAAATGTCGTAGCAGCGCCCCCTTATTGGAGCCCCCTTTGTACTTGTACATATTATAAACTTGTGATCCTTATCTGATTTACAGTGGGCCGTATGGTCCTAAACCCTAAATCCTGAACTGCCTAAACCCTAAACCCTAAACCCTAAATCCTAAACCCTAAACCCTGGTTTGCCATTAGATCAGAGGTCTGCCGGGCTTCTGCGCCGCACCGAGCTGAAACCCCAAGGGCGCATCTCTAAATCCTTTGTTTAGCACCCGAAGCCCTACCTTAAGCTACGGTTGATGATATATATCCTGCATTGCGCATAATATGGAATATACCATAATTCCCATAGTTTCGGGTCCTTAAGCCTTAAGGGCAATGCAGGATTTACATCATCAACCGTACCGTAACCTACTTTCTGTAGATTCTTGTCATAAACGGTAAATAGAATTTACTACAGAATCTTGGGGTTTGGTTTGTAGCTCAAGGTAGCTCTGAAACTAAACCCTAAGCCCCATCAGACGCTGTTGGAACTTCCGTATAACTCATTACAGCCCTATAGACCCTCAAGGAATTCTGCTGGAATGCCATCAATCGTATCCCCCCACAGAAGCCCTGTTCACGCCTACCTCATCACTCTACATCCTCGACCTTTATTCACAGCGTAGAGCCTCCGAAGCTCCACTACAATTCACTGAAACCTTCTCCAGCCCGAAAGTAACCCGATAAGACCTGAGCTTGTTTCTGATCCCGCAAAAGCCGTGTAAGCCCAAACCCTAAATTCGCAACCTGAAATCCTAGCGCCTAAACCCTGCTATGTAACTTATAGAAGCCGAAGTCGTTGCTTAGGCTGGACGCGAGGTCCGCTCGAATCTGGGGCAACGACAACGATCACGACAAGGCGGCCTTGAGCTGTACCAAGCTTGGGAGTTTAGGATGCAAGGCTTTAGGGCTTAGCTAAAGTCTCGATTGTAGTTCAGATTTAGAGGCTACCTTGTGGGATCCTGCGTATAGAATTGGTTAAGCAAAGAGGAATTACCATGGAGACTACCGGTGGGGCTTAGGGTTTAGTGTTTGGGCCTTAGGGGTTGCGGTTGACGAAGGCCTTAAATCCTAGACTCCAACCTCTTAACCTTCAGTCAGGTTTTACATCTTACTACTGTAACCCAAACCCATGCTACGACCCTCATATCCTCGGGTGTAAAGCCACCCAAAACAGTAGGGTTTTCGATCCCAGGTATTTTCCTGGCCGGTGGGTTCTAGGCCTAGTTTGAAGTTTCAGGCTAGGGAGTTTAGGGTTCAGGGATTGAGGATTGAGGGTTTGTGGTTTAGGGTTGGTTTCAGGGTGTAGGGTCTAGAGGCCGTGCACCCTAAAGCCAGAATCCGGGCTTCAGGGTGCCAGATGTTTTTTGACAGAGATTTGTGGACTCAAGGGTTCGGGCTGGAGGCTAGGTCCTTGTTAAGGGGTACTTTGTTACTAGTAGTTTTTTTTTGTGGTTGGGAGGGTTGTGGACATTCAACGTTAAGATGCTTCGCCCAAGGCCAAGTAGATAACAAGCTCAGCCATCTCGTGTGTCCAGGATAGAGGTTTATCGAGGGTTGTTGGCAAGAGGTTCAGCCCCTAGCTAACGTAGTAATTGACTCTTTCATTGCCCTAAATAAACCCTAAAGCCCAAGCCCAAAGTGCGACTGCAAAGCCTAAGCCCGAAATTCGACTGCGACGCAGACAGCCAGGCATTAAATGCCAAAGAGAGAATAGAGGAAGAGCCCCTTGGTGGTGCAAATGTGGGTAGAGGGCCTTTGTGTCATTCGGGCTCTAGGGTTTAGGGTTTAGGGTTTAGGATCCCTAAACCCTAAACCCTAAACCCTAGACCCTAAACCCTAAACCCTAAACCCGAAGAAGATTCGTGGTCTGACGTAAAGTTAGGGTTTGTTGTGCGTAATGTTTCACCAAGGCCTTCGATGGTTTGCAGGTCGGTCTGGGGATTTTCAGCATCGCGGAGGCCACCCTCCAAGGTCAGGGGCCAAATCCTACAGCCCTAACCCCTAAACCCTAAAGCCCAAACCCCAAACCCCAAACCCTAAACCCAAAACCCTAAGCCCTAAACCCTAAACCTTAAATCCCAAACCTTAAGCTGCCAAGTGCCAAGCGGAATGGTCCAAGGATTTTTGGGGTTTTGTTGAGCCCTGGAGCCTTAAAGCCAAGGGTGTCGCATTGAGGCTTCGGTTTTTTTTTGGCTGCAGGGTCTCTAGGGTTCAGGGTGCCGCCCATGAGGGCTCCTTTCAGGGCTCTTAGGCTTTGGGGGGCTTTAGGCTTTGAGGCTCCAGGGTTGAAGGCTTCAAGCCCGAAGCCCTAGGGCAGTTTTCTAGAATAGGGTCCCTTTTTTTGGGGGGAGCTCCCTTTTAAGAAGGGTGCCGTACTATATTGGGGCCTCCCAAAAAGGGGCCCCTAGTTTAGAAAACTACCCCCCCCAAGCCCTAAACATGGCTTCCTTCAGGCTTCCGAAAGCCCGAGCTCACGGAAAGCTTTGGGTTCAGTGGTTCCAGGGAGATCACACTGCGCACCCCAGACCGGAAGCCTGATATCTCGATCCCTTTAAGCCTTAAGCCCGAGCACAGAAACCCTAAGCCCCAAGTTTAGGGTTTAGGGTTTAGGGTTACGCCCGAAAGCCGAAGCCCCTTAAGGAACAGCGCGCCTGTCAAGTTGTCGACGCTAGCAAAGAAATCAGGCCTTAATACCCTCCAAGCTGGATTCCTAAACCCCAAACCTTAACCCTAAGCTCCTAAACCCTAAACCCCAAACCCTTAACCCTAAGCCCCGAAGCCCTTAACCCCAAACCCTTAACCCAAAGCCCCTAAACCCTAAACCCAAAGCCCCTAAACCCTAAACCCTAAACCCTAAACACTAAACCCTAAGCTCTAAACCCTTAGCCTTAAGCATTTTCCATGAGGAAGGCGCGAAATGTCAGGATGGAGGCTCTTGGTACCATCCTTGCGAGCCCGAAACGTCTGAACTCTCAACGTTTTTTCGTTAAGGACCCCTTAATTAAGGACTATACCTTAAATTCTCGGGGCCCTAATATATGATTTAAGGCATATTCCTTAATTAAGGAGTATGATTATCTTTTGTTGGGTTTTTAGGGTTTAGGGTCGAGGATTCAGGGGTTTAGGGGTTGAGGCTTCAGGGCTTTGAGCTTAGGGTTTAGGGGGGTTTCGGGCGCTGAAAGCCTAAAATACGAATCAGAACCGTAAGACATGACCGAGGATGGAGGACATCACCACCGTGGACACTTGCACAGTGAGTGTTCCGGCACACTTAGTGTTCCTTGGCGGAGCTTGCTCCTTTTTAGCCGTTGTTTCGGGGTTTGGGGTTCTTGTTCGGGGTCTACGGCCCTAAACCCTAAACCCTAAACCCCTGAACCCTAAACCCTAACCCCTAAACCCCAAACCCCTGAACCCTAAACCCTAAGCCCCTAAGCCCTAAACCCTGGTTTAGAGTTTGGGTCTCTGGCGGGGCTTTTGGGCCTTGGAGCTTTTGTTTGGGGCCAAGGGTGTTTTATAGGAGTTTGGGTTCGGGGCTTGGGATTTGGGCTGTCGTTTGGCGCTGCATGGATTGGGAGGCCTAGTCTAGGATCGTTACATCGAGGCTCTTAAAGCCTAAAACCCCAACCTTAAATCCCAAGCCTTAAACCCTAAACCCTAAACCCTTGAATCCCAAGCCTTAAACCCTAAACCCCAAACTCCAGACCCCAAAAGTCCGAAAGCCTGAAACCCTAAACCCTATAGAACCCCTACACAACCCTTTCAAGGCACCCGAAAACCCTGCTGCTTTGGCTTTTATCTTCGGATCATCCATCTTTCTGAAGCTCCCTTCTTGGGCTTTTTGGGCTTTGGAGTGCAACGGTTTTGGGTTTGGGGGGTTTCGGGTCTGGGGCTTGGGGTTCAGTTTAGGGCTTTAGGGTTTAGGGTTTGAGGGTTTTAGGGTTGCGGGTTTAGGGTTTAGGATTTAGGGTTTGCGGTCAGGGTTTTAGGGTTTAGGGTTTGGGTATCGGAATTAGGGTTTAGGGTTTAGGATTTGCTCGGGCTCAGAGTTAAGGCCTTGGACTTCGATCTTCGCTTTTCAAGCTTCCGAATTCGGGGTTTGAGGCTGAAGTTAGATGAGGGTTTCGGGTTTGGGGTTTGGGGATTACGATGTAGGGCTGAGGGGTTCGGGTATGGAGCTTGGAGGTAAAAGGGTCCTGGGAGCCAGTCCAGGGAGCCGAAAGCGAACCCCAAAGCGACCCAGGAACCAAGTGATCAACGATTCGGCGCTCCGGCAGCTGCAGGACTCAACCTCCAACCCGAAACCCCTTTAAAGGAACCCTTAAGCCCTAAACCCTAAACCCACAAAGCCCGAAACCCCTCTCAAGGAACCCTT